TATGCAATAGATGTAATAAAACATAGACTATAGACTCCATATATATAACGAAATTGCTGGGAATCATCCTTATTGCAATCCTCTCTTCATCGCAAAATAGATTGTTTACATATATTTTATATATGGCGGAAATCATTTTATAACGCCAAATTCAACATTAAAGATATTTTCGAAGATTATTTTTCCTATTTATTCATCTATATCTTCATATATTTTTAATTTATTAATCATTTTTATTATAAATTTTGTTGTATTATATAGATCTCACAATTTATATTATTTATATTTATGATTTATATAAGCAATTCTTAAAAATATATTATCTGGATAATTAAAGTTAAATCTAGATGAATTGCTATATAATTTAATTTTTTATCTAGATATATTATTTAAATTCAAAATCACCTTCATCTTAATTATCTGACAATGAGCTGAATTCACATATTTTTATCTATCTTTATCTAGTTATATTTTTAAAATATTTAAGCACAACCAGAGAGAAGGATGAGAGTGGTCATCCCCTCGATTTAGCTGCAACCGGAATTCAAAGCGCCTCTATGTGCACAAAACGTGCACATTGAACTACGTAGCCATGTGCACGATGCTCCCGAGTGGTAACAGGCTATGTGCACGGTACGTGGTTCGATTCCGTGCTATGTGCACAGATGAGCGCCAGTAACACGTAGCTGTTAAAGGAGATGAGTTCGAGACCTCGCAGGGCCAATTTTTTTTTTTTTTTTTAGTACGACTATATTTGTCAATTTAATGAAATCCTTTTAATTATTGTGGAATAAAGAGATAAAATGCATTTCTCAAGCGTACGCGAGAAAATCGAAATCAAAAATAATGAGTGCCGTATAAATACGTATGGAATAGAGCGTTATATCGAAGAGCGTGTGGCGTAGCGTTAAGGGACTAGACACGTACCGTCGAGATTAGAGGTTCGATTCTCAAGGAGTGACTTTTTTTTATTTTAAATAAAATTTTTTTTTACCATAAAATGTAATTTTTACACAAAATAAATGTAAATAACACGATTTATTTACTTATAACACGTATATTACAAAAATGCATTTTTCTTTGCCTCAAAAAGCCGTGAAAAGCCGTCTGTAGAATAGCTGTATGCGATAGGAACTTGTATGATTATCTGTTTAATTAAAAATTATCCGATTTATGTCGTGTTTGGTGTCGTTGAAATCGCAAAAATCTCAATAATCCATTAATATTATTTTTGAATAGATAAAATGCAAAATAAAGGTTTAGTTTTTCACTTATAAGATGTTTATATTTGTGAATTGCCATGGATGGGGAAGCCTATTGTTCGAGAGTTCGGAACGTTCTTTGATCTCGATACTCGGGCGCTCGGGCCGCTTATCTTTTCGAGCTCATCTCACAACTCGTCGTGTGCGAGAGAGAAAGCGAGACTGCGAGTATAGAGCGAGCGAGAGGACCTATCATCAAAGAAAGTTCCGAACTCTCGAACAATAGGCTTCCCCATCCATGGCAATTCACAAATATAAACATCTTATAAGTGAAAAACTAAAACCTTTATTTTGCATTTTATCTATTCAAAATAATATTAATGGATTATTGAGATTTTTGCGATTTCAACGACACCAAACACGACATAAATCGGATAATTTTTAATTAAACAGATAATCATACAAGTTCCTATCGCATACAGCTATTCTACAGACGGCTTTTCACGGCTTTTTGAGGCAAAGAAAAATGCATTTTTGTAATATACGTGTTATAAGTAAATAAATCGTGTTATTTACATTTATTTTGTGTAAAAATTACATTTTATGGTAAAAAAAAATTTTATTTAAAATAAAAAAAAAGTCACTCCTTGAGAATCGAACCTCTAATCTCGACGGTACGTGTCTAGTCCCTTAACGCTACGCCACACGCTCTTCGATATAACGCTCTATTCCATACGTATTTATACGGCACTCATTATTTTTGATTTCGATTTTCTCGCGTACGCTTGAGAAATGCATTTTATCTCTTTATTCCACAATAATTAAAAGGATTTCATTAAATTGACAAATATAGTCGTACTAAAAAAAAAAAAAAAAAATTGGCCCTGCGAGGTCTCGAACTCATCTCCTTTAACAGCTACGTGTTACTGGCGCTCATCTGTGCACATAGCACGGAATCGAACCACGTACCGTGCACATAGCCTGTTACCACTCGGGAGCATCGTGCACATGGCTACGTAGTTCAATGTGCACGTTTTGTGCACATAGAGGCGCTTTGAATTCCGGTTGCAGCTAAATCGAGGGGATGACCACTCTCATCCTTCTCTCTGCACAACACAGCATGTATATATATTGCATGTTGCATGTCGCGTAATTGTAAAGCTGTCATATATACGTGACAATCCTACTAAAGGTTAGGGTTAGGTTAGATGAGCTGTCAGAGAACGCAGAAGAAAAACGTGGCATCCACCTCGTTCTTCATATAATCCGAGAAAACGGGAAATAAGGTGTTTTGGCAGAAAGGATCTGTACTATCTGTCATCGGTATCTCGCGCATATACCATACGAGGGAAATCGGCACATCACCTGATAACATCGTCTGATTTGACAGTGCGCGTTTACACATATATACGTACAGGTGTATACACAACGAACGTCGTCAGAGTCTAGGGGGGAGGGTCCCCTTCCACGAGGAACAATCAAAATGGCGGTTCCGCACAACGCGGGTGATGTGTAGGCTGCGGTGTAGGCAGACATCGGGCCGCATCGTCGCGATCGTTTCGGAGAGAGACGAGAAGCGAGAAAGCGTGAGCGTGAAACGTACGCGTACGTAGCCGGGAGAGAGAGAGAGAGGATGGGCGACCCGAAGAGCCAGCACGGCGGCCAGGAGATGAAGGGCTGGCTTTTCAAATGGACGAACTACTTGAAAGGTTATCAACGGAGATGGTTCGTCCTGTCAAACGGCCTTCTGTCGTATTACAGGTAGTTTCCTACGTGTCATCGGATCTTACCTCCACCCGATCTACCTGTCTACCTTTGTCTAACAAACGCCTCTATCAAAGTTCTCCGATTTTTTCGCGCGGGTCTCTAATATACGTCTCTAGATTCTAGCCTCCTTCGTGTAACGATCGATCTCGATGCGAGATCGCATGCCAGCGGCTCCGCGTCTTTTTTTTTTTTTTCTCCCTTTACTTTTGTCGGCCTCCAAACCGCGTGGAGAAATGAAATCTAGAGACACGTCGAATGTGCAATATGGAGCTGTTCCCCGTGCGCGATTAGGTTAGGTGTGACAGTACTCTGTTTTTCCTCTTTTTCTCTTTCCGATCGCTCCCGGTGGTCAGAAATAGCCTGGCAACAGCTGATCAAATATGTATTCAAAGCGCTGTTTATCTAGGAAAACGCATACGCGATGAATACGATAAGGCGCGTTTTGTTTGCGGACAATGTACCTCATTGTTAATTCATGATATTTATCGTGAAAACGGTCGAAATTGTTGCGTTAGTCGAAATTTTAAAAACGAGACAATTTTTTTTTATCGAGGTATTTCGCTTTGACAAGAAAAGATGGAACAGCTTTTTTATTCCAAAACTCCATTATTGCGTTCTCCTTTTTTAATCTCCCGAAGAGTTTGCGATAAGAGATGATGCATTGTGGCAGGAGCCTATTAGAATGAGAACTTGGATACGTTTAATAAGGTATTAGAAAGAGCGCATGTGTAATCGAGCTGTGATTTCTTATTTTCAAGCGCGATTTTACGAGTTGGTTTGTTCAGTGTAATATATCGAGTCGATCATTATCTATACTTAAATAGCTTCGATTCTTCTTACTTGTCTGTTAAACGTGTAAAAACACGATGAGTTACACGTGTAATTTCCGGAGAACAGCTAGGTATCGCGGTGATTACATAAAAGCGTGACAAAATCCTTTCCAGACGATATACTGATACAACATTGCAACTTACATCTACATAATGCGTCGCAAAATGTAGAAATCGATATAGTAGAATTCTCGATGAACTTATAGTTTGATTATAGTTCGATTATTGCTATTTCAAGTAAAAAAGACTAATGTTCCGCAGAGATTAAGAATCATCATTTATAATTGTTGAGATTAAAAAAAAAAAAAATATATATATATATATATATATACAGTGTTGTGCTTAGATGATTTTAAAATTAGCTAAATATAGATGAGATGAAAATATGTAAATTTAGCTTACATAAGATGATTTTGTTTTAAATATATCTATAGATAAAATTATATGGCGATTCATCGAGATAATTTTCAGATGATATTTTTAAAACCGCTTATGTAAACAGTTATAAAAAAATTGTAAAAGGGATGTAAAAATATGTTCATATTTTTATTTATAAGTTTTTATCGTTTACTCCTCAAGTTCTATATGTGACTCTATAAAGCAAATTATCTAAACATTATTATTTTAGATAATTTAAGAAAAATAATACTTTTTTCATCTAAAATGTAAATATAGATAATATATTTTTATTATTTGTATAAAGATAAGATGACGCCAAAATTTTATCTAGATAATCTATATAATTTTATCTGAATAACAGCATACATTGTATGTATAACGTTTTCACACGTTCTTAAAAGTATGCGGTTTAAAAAAAAAATTACGTCATTCTATTGCAGATGTTCGCATTTAACGACGCATTTTTTTTTGTTTATCCATTTCGAAGAAATTTGATCCTCTCTTTATATATATTATATTTTCCTCTCTCTCTTTTTTTATAATCGATTCCTATGCGAGATTTCTCATTGAATCGTTATTAAACGCTTCGTTATTCAGTTTGCAGCCTAGATTTCGCCTCTTTGTGACTCGCAATTTTTGACAATTTTCGTCAGTTTCTGTTCTGGCAATTTGGTTGCAAAATTAATTAAGTGGAACGATAGAGATTTTTTTTATTATACGAGAGACAGGCGTATAAAAAAATTGTCTCACGTTATTCCTTTTGCTGTAGAGCGACCGCGTTTTTTCCCGACAGACAATTTTATGCACCGGCTTCCTAGGACTTTTCTAGTTTGACCAGTTTCCGCTTTGGCACAATTTGTGTGATTTGAGTTTTTGCGATGTCTCTTCCTTATATATTGAAAAGAAAAATGTCCTGGAATGTATTTTTACGAATTTTTCTCGTGTTGTACGAATTATAATTCTCGATTTTGTCGTAAGGCTTCTCGCACGGCACGCAAAATCACGTAACTCGTGTTACAAAACTCGAGTGGACTTGTAACACCATGTCGATATTACCGATTTCTTTTTTCCCCATTTCTATGCCGATTCGACGAGCGAAAGAAGCAAAACAATGCTACGCGACTCGTCTATAGGCAAGGACAAAAATAAAAAAGAAAATAAAAAAGAAAATTTCAAATAATAAGCCTTGCAATATAATTACACAATATGAACGGGGTCTCTTTGTTTTATGGATTGTTTAGGGCTGAACCGACAGGGGGGCCAAAGATATCAACGCGACGCAAGCGGAGGACTGGCAGAGCCTCCGAGTAAGTAAAAAAAAAAAATAAAAAAAAGAGAGAAAAAGATAACAATATGTACGAAATCGCCGAAATATCCTGACTTTCCTTTTAGCGAATCTGTAATTTAAAAAGAACCGACTGAGGACGTTGAAGTCTCCAATTTTCATTTTTGTTACTCAATTATCCGTCATACAAATAAACACCCCCTCATACACACACAAACACACACACGTGTACACATGTATACCCTATTACATTCAGCTCTATATGTTTAACATGCAGTTTTATGTGACTTGTTCCTTAATATACAAGGTGTTTCTGGAGGAATGGTCAGCATTCTAGGACGTGATTGTATACACATTATTTTGAGCAAAAGGGTTCACATAAACATATGTTTTATTTTAGACAATTATATTATAAAGATACAACATATTCAATCTTAAGAACGAATACATTCATTAGCTTGATAGAATCTGCAAATATTGTGAAACAATTATATTAAATTGTTATAATTTCCTGTCACCATGATTACGAATGTAATTAGGTCACGTGTGATGTGAATCCAGTGTTAGTTTGTAATTTTTAGTTTCGCTATAATTAAAATATGTCTTTATTCACTTATGTCAAAATTCTAATTAATTGTAATTTTAAAATTTAATGTAATCGCCTCATAGAATTTGGTTGTATCAAGTTAATTGAATGTATTCGTTCCTAAGACTGAACACGCTGTATCTTTCCAACCGTTCAGAATAGAACACATGTTTATATAAACTTTTTTGCTTAAAATGGTACAATCGTGTCCTAGAATGCTGACCATTCCTCCGGAAACATCCCGTGTAATTTCATCCGCTTTCTCTGTATCTGGTTGTGACATATGTAAGCGATACATTTACGTGTAATCTGGAAATTAAATGCCCTCCTCTCATATGTTAAATATGCTAAACGTATATATACACTTTCTTGTATGTCTTTCTTTCCTTCCTTCTTTCTCTCTCTCTCTCTCTGTATGTGCGCGTGTGTATTGTATGTATGTACGTGTGCATAATTCAATGCAGCCGCGTGCAATGAAACGTGCAGCTTCTTTACGTTAGTCTGGTGCCGTTCAATTCCGATCGAATCTGTTTTGTTACTTTTGTTGGTGTAGTGGTCTCTGGGCAGTACGTTTAACGATCGTTATCGGATCGACAAAAGTATAGCTATTATTAAAGCCTTTAGATTAGACAGTTTTATTTCTTTTCGGGCTCGAACGCTCGAAAGTTGTATCAGACAAAATTACCTGTAAATTTCCCCTTTTCGAATATAATCGACACGAAAGATTCCGCAATCTCTTTGTTAGACAGTAGACTTTATTCATCCCTTCTCTCATCATCTTTTATATCAGTATATTTCTCTCAAGTATATTTCTTTCTCTCCCGAATAGTCCTTGTATTCGCCTTAGTTTTTTAACACAATATCTTGAGACGATTCGACGACTCGATATTTTTATTATGCAGGGTGTCTTTGTTTAAGATGTTTCCTTTAAGAATATTTACATAAAATCAATTTCTCTATGATAAGTTTAATTAGTTCAACTTTGTGAGATGCGTGATTCAACATATTTGATAAGAGAGGACGTTTAATTTAAATTTATCACGCAATCACAAAGAGTCTGTTGATCAAATAAAGGTAGCTTTAAGACACCCTGTATAAATATATTGTCTAGAGATATCGAGTCGAAAAATGATTTGATTTTTAATCCTTTGTAAGTAAGAAATAAATTTTATCAGCGGTAGAGTCGCAACAATTCACGATTATTCAATAATGATTCTCTATTTTTTCCGAGAATTGTGAACAATTAAAATAAATGTAAAGTCATTCAGCGAAAAGAGAATTGGTCTAAAATTTCTGTAGAAAATTTTCAGAAAAAAAAATTACCGAAAATTACGTAACACGCTAACAAGCGCGAAGTAATGTTAATATTGTCATGTTAGAAGATAAATAGACGAGATAATATTTGCGCAAATCATCCGGCGTGTCTGAAATAGATCGATAAATTTTGGCAACACAGATTTTATTTGTCTTAAGGATGCAAAAAAGATGGTGTAAGCATAGATCCGCATTCTTTCCGAGCTATAAATAACTTTGCCTCTGCTGCGGAGATTTGCAAGAATTCCCAAGATTGATAGAGATTTGCTCTTGAATAAAAACACGAAAGTTATTCCATTTTTCTTTTATAGGAATTGTTGAATATAATTTTTCTTCCGGCAATGACAGAATAAGAGAAATTCAAATATAAATTGATAAAAAGATTTACTTGGAAATTTGTATTGTTACATTTATGTACATTTTTAAAGCAACATCGAATCACAGCAAGTACTAGGATTATCTATTATTAATGTAAAATTATACGACGGATATATAATTATATTATAATGTAAAAATTATACGATGAGATAAGACACATTTTTGCAAAACTCCGCCGTCGACGAAAACATTTATAATTCGAAAAGGAATAAGAGTATTTTTAGATTTTTAATCATCTTTTATTTTCATTTGCAAGATAGGCGTGGAATGCTCCAAAAATTCGATCTATTTCAAGGACACCATATATACGATTGTTTCAATTATATTAGCATGACTTGTTCCTTTTTTCCACGCAGAATCGTGATTGTTGCGTGTTCGATTAACCCGAGTGACCTCACGTGCATGATCCGATTGAGAGCTCCTACTCCGTTCTTTAGATCGTTGTTTCGTACGACGGAGTAACTCCTACGGATTGTTGGACTATTCCAACTCGAGATGTTTATTTATATTAGACATGAACGGGAGCCGGATCGTTGCGGGACGGTAATGGGATCGCTTCTAACGAGTGTATTCTCTCTCGGCGATTACGCTAATAAATCTCATATCTCTTAATTTTTCCCGACCACTTTCCCACCCCCTTGTTCCCGGCGAGTCAGAGTGTGATGCAGATTAACACAGACGAATCAATTGTTACAAATTGACGTGTCGAATCTTTTTTTTTCTTTCTTCTTTTGCAAGAGAAGTCGCTCATCCTTCGCAAGATCAAAGAGGAAACGTCGGCAACAATCGAGTCTACCGTTCGCGAACTCACGTCTGTCTTTCTCTGTGTCATTCGGCAATTGCAAGGCGATTCCAAAGGCATGTGAGTACTCGAGACTGTCTCCATTTTTCTCGTTTTAGAAATCCCGCGGAGATGTCCCACACCTGCCGCGGCACGATTTCCTTACACGGGGCCTTAATACATACGGTGGACGCCTGTACCTTCGTCGTGAGCAACGGCGGCACGCAAACCTTCCACATCAAGGCGTCGACCGAGGTGGAGCGACAGCAATGGGTTACAGCCCTCGAGCTGGCGAAAGCTAAAGCCATTCAAGCAATGGAATCTGGTTTGTAACTTCATCGGTTATCTCTACATCCTTTTTCGGTTCACTTGTAAAGTGCCTAAGATGAGAACAATTCTGTGAAAGATATAAATATTACAGATTTACATATAATTTTACATTTAAATTGAATTGTTTAAAGGTTCCTGGCTCCTCATCGACCGCATGTTGGAATTATGATGTCAGAGGCGAGAAAATACAGGCTAAAAATTCTTAGATGCCATTTCAAAATGAAAAGATGTTTCGATGAAACAGCACTTTAGATGGCTTTGCAATCAATCTTCATAATTAATCAATAGCTGCAAAATGACTAATATGAGGCTCAGTTTGTCTAGTCTTTGCGCAGTCATTCCGCAATGACAAAGTTTAATATCACGATCATTTTATTGTCAAGGGAAAAATAGTTTTCGAGGTATTTTAAAAGTGTGCTAAAGCCATCTGAAGTAGCGTTTCATCGAAATACCTTTTTATGTATATAAAAATGCCGCTGACGTCAGAATCTAATATGCGCGGCGAGGACTCAGGAGCCTTGATTTTGAGATTTTTTAATCCGAATCAATCTTGTACAAACATTCAGACGTTATAAGGAATATTCTAATACGACACGCTGTGTATATTTATATGCCGTGTTGTCTATACTTTTCGTCTGTTATATTGAACTTGGTACTTTATGCGAAATTTCTTTTAGAAGAAGAGGAGGAGGAATATCAAGATAACGACAATCAAAACGTAGAAACTGCGTCTGTGATTAAGGATCTAACGCGACGATTGGATGATCTGCAAGCGTGCAACGACTTAATATTCAAGCAGGGAGCTGCGCTTCAGCGAGCTTTGGCCGATTTAGAAACGTTAGAGCCTCCGTCCCCCGAATTAGCGGCAAAATTCAAGACCGTCAGCGAACGAGCTACGCTTTTCCGAATTGCGGCGAATGCGATGATCAGCGTAAGTTTCAATATATAATCTGTTATAAATTTAAATATTTAAACGTATAATATTTAAATATATTTAATATATTGGAAGACACACAAGATGCTTACGTTTATCTAACGTTATTAATTTATTTAAGAATCTTGCGAAAAAGTGCATCAGCCCTATACTATTCGAGTTTTATAATTAAACTCTATTCTCTGAATCTTAATACTTTTTTTATGTATATTTAGAACTTATTGTTAGAAAACTTAAACATTTAAAAAAACATAGAATATAAATGTCATTTTCATCTGTTATATGCAACTGAAGATACAGATTGAAATTTGTTGATCAAATGTCAAAATTTTTACATTATTAGAATTAAATAGCATAAGGATTGCTCGCGCATTTTTTTAGACTTGCTAAATAAATTTTTGAAAATGTTTTCATAAAATGTCTTTAAATATTTTGTAAATCTCATTACAACGAGATAGACAGAGTACATGACTGAGCGAATGATTCATTAAGATGTAGAGAGAGAGAGAGAAAGAGAGAGGAAAGGTCGCGTATTTCTTGTGATATATTTAGTGATTCGTTTCTCATATGAGATTAGTACGTTCAAAGATCAACATAAATTAAATTTCAATATAAATTCCAGTATAAATTCAATTCCAATATAAAATGTGAGGGCGGGTACAGAGTTTAAATTTCACGTCATTTAGAATCATCAATTCTATTCACAAGATTGCCCTTGACAATGAAGCATCCTCTTTACTCATATAATTTAATACTGATGTAATCTAATATGAAAGCTTTGCCGAAAGTAGATTACATATGTATATTGTTACAGACGAGTAACGATTACTTGCAACTAGCCCAGCAACAGGAGCCTAAATGGAAGAAGATGTTGCAGCATGAACGCGATCAAAAAGTGCGGATAGAAAAAATGGTCGAACAGCTAGCTAGGCAACATTCCCATTTGGAGGAAGCTGCACAACATGCGATTCCTTCAGCGACACTTGCAGGAGGACACAGACCTTCACGTAAATAATCTTACATTTGCATTCTTCGTAGCATGTTCATTTATCATTTTTCGCTATTTTTTGTTTAATTATTTAAGACATTGTATGTTCTTTAAAAGATATCCAACAAAAGTTTCCCAGGTAATTAACTGACATTTTGACATTTAATGACGTCAATTTACTACTTGGGTTTTCTAATTTATTGAAATTTTATTTATAAATATTAATGAGCGCAGTATAAATTTCAAAATCAAATCAGCATAAACAAAATATCTCTTGTCATTAACAAAAATGATTTTAACGATATTAAATATTTAATTTCAAATTATTCTGCCAAAATTAAATGCGCCTGAAATTCTCCGCTTAATAAACATTCAATTTTTGAATATTTTTGCATTTTTAGCCCAAAATTCACATTTAGTCACTGGTGATGCAAAGTTTGTAGTCTCTAAAATGTAGAGGGAGAATGAAATATTTTCAAATTTCGGCGCCTCTATTTATTTACTCGTACCTGCGCTAGATGGCTTCGGGGAGGTATATGTACACCGATGCAACACGTTATATCGCGCTTACGTCATTCGTGGTGCACGTACTCACGGTCTGTAACACATTGCAGCATATATATAGAGAACCAAAAAATGTACACTCATATATGATATATACTTCGACGTATTACGGACAGTGTTTTCGGGTTTCTTCCGAATTTAATCGGGCGGCTTTTGACGCTCGACGCGAGATTTTCTTCGAAACTCGATTTCCACGAATTTCGGAACCATCATCCCCTTTCGGAATCTAACCGAAGAGAGACAGAGGCTCGGACGGAAGTTGTCAAAACAATAATCGGACGAGTCTAAAAGTGCGTTTCGTTATTGGTGTTTCATTCAACGATTCGCAACCTGCGTTTTGTGTTTGCCAAAGTGTATAGTAGAAATTCGTATATTTTTCCCGTTCAAATTGATTTTGTGATTTACACAAACGACAGGATGTGTTGGACTGTGCTCCATCCGTCTGTCTCGCTCTCTCTTTTTTCTCTCTCTCTTTGTTCTTTTTATTTGTACCTTGTTACACTTTTTTGTACTTGAATGTAGTGTAGTGTATGTACAAAATAACATATGTAATTATTTATATATTATTATTATTTATATAATTGTTTATCTAATATAATATAATTATTATAATATTAAAAGAAGAGAGTACATTCATAAGCAGAGAAGAAGGGAGAAAGTACACAAAAGTGTAGCAAAAAAAAAAACTTAAATGTGTATGAAGTAGCTTTTTTCGATCTGCAGGCGTGATTCATTACTTTTAATCAAATATATCACAAATCCTCGATTTTATAGAGTGCAGGTACAGTGTCAATTCGATTTAAATTGGAAACAAGATTATCCTAAAAAAGGGACAGAAGAAAGAGAGAGAGAGAGAGAGAAGAATTTGAAACGAGCTCGGGAAATATCGTATCGATTCTATATTACTGATACGATCTCGATTGAGCAAAACACAAAGAAGTGCGCGCGCGTGACGCGAACGCGTGTCACGTTATAATTTGCACGATTCCCCGTTTCGATGTCGCCACGTCGAGTCACGATAGAGATCAACGGATCAACGTATTCGCTTCTTATCTTAATGCTTATCTAAACTTACGAAGCGATTAAATGACCTCCGGTGTTCTCTTTCGCTCCGCATCCAGTTTCCTGCTTCCGTCATCTCTCCCTCGTAATTCGAATGTCAACGCGCCCTAAATGTCAAATGCGTGAAAAGAAATTTAACTTTGCAGATCCCGCAATTACGACATCCCCGTCGGAGGATGAGGAAGATAATGCTGAATTTTATGACGCGCAAGAGTCGGACACCTTCACTCTAACCATACCCGGAGCCACCAGCAATTCGATTTCTCACACGAGAGATCGCACAGATTCCCAGGGTAGCGACGATGGCTCCAGTTCAGAAGGGGATCCAACGCCTTTGCCCGTCTCCGATTCAACTGGCGCCGAGTCGTTTCTTATTGTGACCGATTCCACGGCAGCGCAGACTCCTTCACCCGTCAAGACCACAGACGACCTGGACAATGTGAGCAAGTCATAGACCCATATTATGAACTCGCATCTATCTCTCAGATGTACCTCTAAAGTTAGAGACGCAGATAAATGTACCCAAGGGCACATTTATTGAAAATGTCATTAATGTAGTTCAAAATAGGTTTTTTTAAATGATTGCCTCTAGATGCGCTCTTAATACCGTCATATAATTATCGTGGCACATTTAGAGATACATCTAGAGATAAATGTACGCTCATAATATGAAGTTTAGTCTTTTTTGTCATTTTAAATATTTGCAAGACAATTATAGATGGGTCTTTTTTCCCTCTGATAGAGTTGGCAAACCAACAATGGCGGCAGCGGCACCAGGATGACCAAAAGGAAGCGAAGGCTCAAGGTACCTGACAAACCAAATTATCCCTTGAATCTATGGAGTATCATGAAAAATTGTATTGGCAAAGATTTGTCAAAGATTCCTATGCCAGTTAATTTCTCCGAACCACTTAGTATGCTTCAACGGCTGACAGAAGACTATGAATACGCAGATATTCTTGATAGGTATGTTATCTATTGTTGTGTTTTTATATTTTTGGAAACTATGACAATTGGACACTTGACGAAATATTTTTTTTTAAATAGGGCTGCGGAATGTACAGATAGCTATGAACAAATGGCTTATGTAGCTGCGTTTACTATATCTAGTTACTCTACAACTGCTGCTAGAACAGGAAAACCTTTCAATCCCCTTCTTGGTGAAACTTACGAGTGCGATCGTACAGATGACCTTGGATGGCGGGCGATTTCAGAACAAGTATCCCATCATCCACCTATGCTGGCTCAACATTGCGAAGGAAAGAAATGGCGGTGCTGGCAAGAGTTCACAATGGCCTCCAAGTTTCGCGGAAAATACCTGCAGGTATAATATTTTATTTATTTATAGTAGAATATATAGCGCTGTACTTTTCTCAAATTCCAAGCCTAACATCTTTTGAGAAATATATAGGATATTTTTGCCAAGTATAAATTCTGAACACATATATGAAAATAGATAAATATATTTGATAGAGATGAAATAGATAATGAGATATCGATAAAAGCATTCAAAAGAAAATTTTTTCTTTATCGATGTATTCGGTATATATTTTGTTCAAATTGATAAAATTTATTACAATTTATTGTAAGTTTATGGATTTTTAGTAATAATGTGACTCGAGAGCCTAAATTTCCAGGATTTCCAGGCTCTAGTGCATCTTTTGTGCATTTATAAATATATGCACGATTTTGATATTATGTCAATGTATCGATATGCAAACACTAACTACATTAAGAAAAAAACATTAGCAATGGACTTTTGAAAATGTATAGATTAGAAATATGTATCATATATATATATATATATATATATATATATATATATATATATAAACACAGGCATTATTCAAAGATTGCACAATTATTGTTTTGCGAGTACAGCTATTCTGATAATTGATTTTTGCAATCAGGTGATTCCTCTGGGTACCGCTCATTTGGAATTCAACCATGGGCAGCAGCACTATACATGGCGTAAAGTTACTACTACAGTACATAATATTATAGTTGGAAAATTGTGGGTTGATCAGAGTGGTGATATGGATATCGTAAATCATAAGGAGGGTATCAAGTGCCATTTGAAGTACATACCATACTCATACTTTTCGCGAGATAGTCAGCGTAAAGTGAAGGGAGTAGTAATGAGTTCTAACAAGGAAGTCAAGTGGGTAGTACAGGGTACGTGGGATGCAAAAATAGAAATTGCTCCAGTAATTAGCACATCTGGTACACCTGATAATCCAGTCTACAAGACGGGTCCTTACATATTGGCGTGGAAACGACGTATGCCTACGTAAGTATGGCTTTTTTTTTCTTTTAAAATATAATTTTACTTAACTACAACAGTTCAATGTAACCTAATCTACTAAAATTGTAATAATAAATAGAATACAATTTTTTCTCACAATATATAAAAAATTATTCCAAATGTGTTATTTCCAGTGCAAAATACACAAAAATATTTATTTAAAAATAAAATCGAAAGAAAGTTCTTTATTATATATTTACCGCAGTAACATTTTTAATGCATACGTGATATTTCAATGTTTTAACTTAATTTTACAGTGAAGATTGTGAGAAATATTATTCCTTTACGGAATTAGCGAGTCAATTGAACGAACCGGAAGAGGGTATAGCTCCGACGGATTCTCGGCTAAGGCCTGATCAACGACTTATGGAAGACGGACGGTGGGACGAAGCTAATGCCGAGAAATTGCGTTTAGAAGAAAAACAAAGAGCAAATAGACGAGCACGCGAGCACGAAGCCGAGAAGGCTACTGCACAAGGTAGGTTTATATACATTTATTGTCAGAGATTGCAAAAAAAAAAACTTTTTGCTCACTTGGAAACATTTGCTTCTCTGCAGGCTTACCTTACGAGGTGTACGAACCATTGTGGTTCAGAAAGAAACAGGATCCGTACACGGATAGCCGTTGTTATGTTTTCAATGGCGAATATTGGGATTGTAAGAGTAAAGGTGATTGGTCACGATGTCCGCATATATTTTAGTTGATTATATAAATTATATATTCGATTATGATACGAGACTCGTCACACACGCATATGCGAGGAAGTTTTGGGTCATTCAAGTGACGATAATCGAGATTATACAAGTCGCGACCGCTTGTGGTGAAGACTTGAATGCTTATAAAATAACGTTGACGTGATAATGGGATTGTTACAGGATATGATGTAGCGAGATTAATTCTTCCGAAGTGGCTGGCACTCTGATATGTATAATATGCAGTTTGCATACTTGCGTGTCATCACTATTGTTATTCTTTGATTCTCCCATGTCTTTCTCCCTTCCTCCGCGCAATATTATTTTATTCTTTTCTTTCCGAGTATAATTAGGCGCATTTAATCCAATGCTTATTCAATGTACATTTGTATGTTAGCTTTTTGTTTCAATATTTCGCCAAATTAATGTAAATAACCAACTCTTTAAATTTTTCAATCCGATTAAATGCTTATTTAAATTTTGCATATATGCAGCTGTATGTACGAATTTATGAAGAATCAATACTGAAGCAAACATCGATAAAACGTGAATATTTTACTACATCAGCCTAAAACTGAGATAGCAATATTACGGTCATAGAGAAAGCTCGTAAGGAACTATTAATCACCATTATCAGGGGAAGGGGGTAATCAAGCTCAATGTTCCACTTTTATAATATATCCAGTATTGATTTATTTTTAGACAAATACAAATCTAATATTCTAGAAACTAATCCTTAAGTTTTATCGAAATTAGTCATGCTATTATATGTAGATAAAAAATTTTGTGTATTTCATTATTTGATCGATTGCTGAAAGTATTTGTATAAAAGCAACATACAGAAATGTGCAGCAAAGAATAAAATTGAATTTACTCGATGTGCATTGGTATTAATTAAGATGCAATGATATTTTTATTTTTCACGCAACTTCTTTATGAAAAATAAAAAGGGAACGGAATTTAAACGTGTCAGAATTTAATTTATACATTTTTATTTATTAGAAAAATTAAGCCTGTATAATTATATGTCACATTTCCATCGCTGCATATTTCTTGTTTGATACAATTGTGTATTACGATATTTGAAATATTCGAAATTATAAAAAGTACCGACAGTATTGTCCGAATTAAGGATAAATATAGATATGTACATTGGAGGATTTATTCAATAATTTCAAATATACACACGAGCGCAGCGATGATGCGATCGCTGATATTTTATGTAATATAAAATCGACAACCATGATGCTTCCAAGTTTGGCCAGTGTTGTTATTGCAAAAGCCACATCGTTACACAAATAATGCTCACGCAAACTTTGAGCCCGCTAGGTAGACAGAATACTTTATCGAGTTGTAATGCGGTGTAATGTTATTATGGAAGTAGAACGATAAAAAAAAGACACGAGGTACACTTGAAATACGATTTATTGTGCGATGGCTCCTAAGTGCTGCTCCGCTTGATTAAATGAACCGAAATCGGGATCCCGAGCTTAAAAAGCTTTTTTTTGTTTTCTAAAAATTTACGCTACAGCATAGAAATACACATCTATAGGCATGATTTATAGCGAATGATATGCATGTGTGTATGCGTTGTATATGTACGTATGTAAAAGTATGTATGTTTGTCAATACAAACACATACACACACACGATTAATTGACGAAACTTATTGTATCCCCGTTACTTATGAGCACATAGGCTGTTTCATTCGCGACGTTATCAGGTGTATAGTTGTACCGAGCCGTGTGCACGAGTATATCTCGATGATAAGCCGAATAAGCGGAATGGCTAGCTTGCAGCCAATGTCTATAATGATCATTACACTAAGTCCTCTCTGGCTGTATTATATAATTTTAATAGTTTATATAATAATTGAGATGATTATATATATATATATATATATATATATATTATATATACAAACATACCTGTATACATATAAATATAAATTAATTATAAAAATAAATAATTTAACAAGATGCGACGAGTGTGAGCAGAGTAGTAAAAGCTGTCTTCGGATCATTAGCTTGTACATTAATTAGCTGTGATTCGTGTGTGAAGAGAGGCAAATACAAGCTTCGCTACGAAGGAATATTTATTTTGTAGCGCATTCACGCGCGTTTTTTTTTTTTTTTTTTTTTAATAGTCGATCGCATAAAAAATAAAAGGCCGTAATTGTATTATAAGGGAAGAACTTTGTTCTATCGAATAAATGATATATTGCATCAAAGATAAAAGCCACCATAGACGCGATCTGAATTTAGCGATTAAGAGATATTTCATTAGAGATTTGAAATTGCCGCGCTATTTTTTCTGGGATTCATAAGAGAAACGCAGATTCGCGTCTCGCGCGTTTTTCGTGCCTCTGTGATTCGAGAAAAATCGGAAACGCGGGGGCATTAATGGAATAATCGCGGTCGAGATGAGGTAGACGTTTTCCTTTTCGGCAATGGACGTTCGACGGGCGCATGCGCGGGCTCGAGACGGCGCGGCGAGCGGCAATGACGTCACGGGCGGAGTAATACACATATGGCGAGGCCCGCTCATCCGCAGAGCTGCTGCGCGAGAGACGGGCAACTGCTTTCGATTGTTGGCGGGCGCCGCCATCTTGGTCAGTGAGCTTGCGAGTGGCTGTACGTCTCGAGGAGCGGCGAAGGTGCTTCGGTGCGTGCGGTCTTTCGTTATTATCAGAGCTCGCTGCCGGTCGCTGCCAGACGAAGAGTTCTCGGTTTCGCGAATTTCGCCTTTCCCTTTTCGCCATCGGAGAACAGCGTTCCGGCGTATCTCGCGATAAATCCTCCTACCTGTGTGCGTGAGAAATCCGAGCGCATCCGAGATGTCGGAACGGGAGGACAACGTTTACAAGGCGAAACTGGCGGAGCAAGCGGAACGCTATGACGGTGAGTCGATATTTTTCCGGTTCGCCCGGAGAGACGGAAATGGCGTCGAATTTTCTTCTTTTAGACCCGAGAGCGAGCTCTCGGACTCTCTCTCTCTCTCTCTCTCTCGCGCGAAATTTCGCCAACAACCTACGCGGCGAGAAGAGGGGAGTCTCTCCCGGGATCTCTCTGCGCGTCTCTCCTCGTCCAACGAATTAACCTTTAACTGTCAAAATCGCGGAACGCGCTAATCGTTATCGAGTACGGCGTAGCCGGTGGCGGCGTTTCTTTGTGGCGGCGCCGGACGCCGATATCGACTCGTGTCATTCGAGGCCCGCCCGTTCGCTTCGTGTCGCGGCCATGGATCCCGAAGGAGAGCCCGAGAGATCGGCTTCGAGGAAAAAAGGAGAGAGAAGCGCGTACTCGTTGCTAGGCGTGCTCTTCTCGGTCCTTCCTTTCTTCCTTCCTTCATTCTTTCGCTACTTTTAGATAAGCGCCGAGGACTCGTCCGTGACGTCGCGTCGTGACGTCGTGACGCATAGGCGCGCGAGACACTTTCGCTAATCGCCGACGAATTATTATTGCTACCAGGGAGACGGACACGTAGGAACTCGCTCGCGTGTTCCGCTCGTGGTATCTGGCCTTGAATGCGTGCAGAGAAATCACCGACCGGGTACGATCGACCGAGAGAGAGAGAGAGAGAGAGAACGGCCAATGTTCTTCTCCTTTTTCTTCTTCTTCTTCTTTTCTTCCTCTTTCAGGCTTCTTCTCTGAATCGAAAGACTTGCGAGAACCAGGTAGATCCGTGGATTTTGATGTACCTGTGATTTTATACAATGAGAATATCTCGTGCGGCGCATCTTTTACGAAAGAGATGGAGAGAGATGAAGATCCACTTTAGGAGCGCAATCGTAGATAAAACTTTGCGGTTTATAAACTTTTATCGATGCCCTTGATTCCATTTCGTTGTTCTTTTCTCTCATCGTCGATCATTTCTCGAGATAGTACGATTCGCTAAATATAAGTCATTGTTTCAAATTACAGACAGCATCTCTTCATTGAAGAACTTCTTGACGGTGCGTTTCTTCAAACTTCTTTTCTTCTTTTCAACGAAAATTTCTCTAAAGTTTCATAGATCAATCGATGCAAATTGTTCGTATAAAAAATGCGTCAATTGTCGACTCTTTTTGTCATCGTCATCATCATCATCATCATCATCATCATCATCGTCGTCGTCGAGGTGATAAAAAAAGTACATCCGATTCGCGAGAAAGCAGCGCGTGTTCCGTCCGCACGAGCTTGAGGAAATGAGGAGTGAGAAGGGTGGGAGGGGCGGGGGAGACAATCGAGCGGACGCGGAAGAAAGGGGGAGGGGGTCAAATTTCTCCTTCCTAAAGCGATTTCTTTTCTTCCCCCCTCTCCTCCCTCATCCTTTTTCCTTCCGCCCTCCCTTCTCGTGTGCGTGGGAATGCCATGTGACTTACATTTGATAGCGAAATCGCGCACCCCGGATTTAGGGGTTTGTGTTCGTCGAGATGTGCCGGAAGGATAAATGTTGAGAGTTCGCCTCAAAATAAGAGAAGAGTATAACGAATGTTTTGAGGATAAGATGATGAAACGTTGCGAGGATAAATTTATACGCAAATGATGTATACATATATATATGAGGCGTGTTTATTGTTCCTTTATTAGCGAGAACATTCATATTTAATTATACCTGAGTTTCAGATGAGATTGCTTCTTTTTGCGCGCTACTTTGTATAGTAGAAGGACACCTTGCTAATTAACAAATCTTTGTTTTCGCAGAGCCACTTCAATTAAAGCCGAATTTCATTTTTTTTGTCTTTCTTTCAGAATCGCTCTAATTGACGTATTCTATTTTCAACGCGAAACCACTTTATATCGACCAAATGTCAGTTTTTCGCGAAGTTATTCCGAGATTCAAATTTTAATTTTAGACAAGAAAAATGTACTTTCCTCGGGGAAATAAAGTATTTTGGATTTCATTATTGAACGTGTAATCATTGAAAAATCAATTTACTCTCTCCGTCATCCGTGTACATATTTTCATTATCTTCCAAACTTGATTTTTTATTATAATCACTTCTAAATTGACAATCTATCATCTCTTTATATTATTACCTGTAATTTCTGTATTTATAATAACCATATTATGTAATAGTATCTAATAGAGCCGAAAATTTGGTCGACGTTGGTTAAACAAATTTGACGTAATCCGTTTTGAGACGACGTAATGATGTGACTCTGAGGAGGACGAGAAGCGATCATCGAATTTGAGGACAGGAAGCGATGGACGAATTTGAGGATAAGAATCGATTGTCATATTTGAGGACAGGAAGCGATGGACGAATTTGAGGACAAGAAGCGATGGTCGAACTTGAGGCAGGAAGCGATGGTCAAATTTGAGGACAAGAAGCGATGATTAAATTTGAGGACAAAAAGCGATGGTCGAATTTGAAGCGATGGTTTGAGGACAAGAAGCGATGGTCGAACTTGAGGACAGAAGCGATGGTCAAATTTGAGAACAAGAAGCGATGGTTAAATTTGAGGACAAAAGCGATGGTCGAATTTGAGGACAAGAATCGATGGTCAAATTTGAGGACAAGAAGCGATGGTCGAACTTGAGGACAGAAGCGATGGTCAAATTTGAGGACAAGAAGCGATGGTTAAATTTGAGGACAAAAAGCGATGGTCGAATTTGAGGACAAGAAGCGATGGTCAAATTTGAGGACAAGAAGCGATGGTTAAATTTGAGGACAAGCGGAAAAAGAGAAGGGGGATGGAAGGAAATAGATAGATGGATGGTCGGAGAAGAAGGGTGGGTTTATAGTCGGAACGGGCGGAGAGTGAGCAAAAGGGGTGAGAGAAGGTGACGAGAGAGCAGGAGGTGGAAGAGAAGGAGGATAGAATGGGGAGAGAGAGAGGGATGGTTAGGTAGCAGAAGGAAAGTATTGATCTGGCCGCTATCCCACGTTGCTGCACACCTCGACTATGCTGTACCTATACGTGTATTATAACGTGTGTGTTGATTGTAACGCCCCGCTTTACGTCACATTTACTCCCCCCATGAACTTGAAGTCACCTAACCGCCGATAGATAGATAGATACATCGGTGCGTGGCTACGCGACGCATTGATCCACATTATCGATCTACGCGTCCTTTCCGGTGTTATTACGCCGTTTATTATGGGTCTCCGGCTTTCACAGCTTCCTACATTCTTCGTCCTTTTCTTTCTCTCTTCGACAGCCCGGAGTACACACTCGTGCCATTTATAGCGCGCAAAGTGCGAACGAGCTCGAGATAACCGAGGGCGAAAGTTTTTTTCCTTTTTTTTTTTTCAATTTCAAGTTTCTGACATTTCGAATGGAAAAATGTCGAGTCAATTTGAAGAAACACGCTTGATTGTCGATATCGAAGAATGAACAATTAATTGTTTCCTTCTATATTATCTATAAGAGTATATTCAAAGTATATGGAAATGTTGAAATTTTACTATTCGATTTGGCATGTTATAACAATTATTTTTCTCGCCAGAAGAAGATTTAACAATGAACTTTATTCTTTTCTAATCTTTTAATCTTAATTTTCCAAAATCATACGAAATTATATGAAAGATTAGTCGGGGCCTCTCTGAGAAAAAACGCGAGAGGACATTTGTACAAAAGAATCTGGAGGCCAAAAGATCGGCGCTTCTCGGCAAATATCGCTCGAATATGCCGATAAATACGTATTAGTGACTTCCGTGCAAAGTTCAAGGGGCAGCGGATTAATATATACCGACGCGTTCATCCCCTTTACTCCAAAGGTACTCGGCGTTATCGTTTCACCCGCGATGGGCACGTAACATTTTATAGGCCAAACGTCCATATGCCATTTAAACGAACAAGTTCACCGGCGATACCGAGTTTATTTAACAATGATTTACGAGAAATCTTTTGACAGTTTATACTTTGCGGGATAATTGCGAAAAAGCTTGCAAAATATAGGACATGGTATTGTTTTGTCAGGTTTCATAGTTGATGGAAAATAATTTTTTCCCAGTCTTCTATATTTTTGTTATAAACTCTTTTGTTATAAATCTTGATATTAATTTTTATAAAATTGTGTGTTTTTATATCATTTATATGTGACTTTTATACCAACTTTTCGCTTCTATTAATTTGTTTTCATTGACGTTTACAGAGATGGTTGAAGCAATGAAGAAAGTGGCTTCGTTGGACGTGGAGCTCACCGTCGAAGAAAGGAATCTTCTCTCAGTGGCATACAAAAATGTCATTGGAGCAAGGAGAGCCTCCTGGAGAATAATCTCGAGTATCGAACAGAAGGAGGAGAATAAGGGAGCAGAAGGAAAACTAGAAATGATTCGCCAGTACCGATCTCAAGTGGAAAAGGAGCTCAGGGATATTTGCGCCGATATCCTCGGCGTCTTGGATAAGCATTTGATACCGTGTGCCTCCACGGGAGAATCCAAAGTCTTCTATTATAAAATGTAAAAATCCTTTTACATTCATTTGTTATATAATTGTTTATTAATTTATTAACAATTAATTTAAATATAAATAGTTTTTTTAATAATAAACTTTCCAGCTCAAAAACAATTTAAATCAATTAATATTTATTTATCATTAATTAAATATTGACGCAATAATCCATATTGCGTGTTTACCGTTTCTGTTATTTTTATTTTATAAAATTACTAGAGTATTTTTTAATTAAACTGTTACATTACATTTCGATGTATTATAAAAATTGTCGTCTACTTTGGAATTTGTGTTTCCACAGGAAGGGCGATTATCATCGTTACTTGGCGGAATTCGCCATCGGCAACGATAGGAAGGAAGCGGCAGAGAACTCTTTAGTAGCGTATAAAGCAGCGAGCGACATCGCCATGACGGAACTGCCGCCGACCCATCCCATTCGTCTGGGATTAGCGCTCAACTTTTCCGTGTTCTACTACGAGATCCTTAATAGTCCTGACAGAGCGTGCCGCTTAGCGAAGGCAGCCTTCGACGACGCGATCGCCGAATTGGATACGCTGTCCGAGGAAAGCTACAAAGATTCCACCCTCATAATGCAGCTCCTCAGGGACAACCTCACTCTATGGACATCGGATATGCAGGGAGACGGTTAGTAGTGTCCCACTTACTTACGAGGGCGAAAATCGCTATAAGGATGTTTTGATTACGCTACAATGCGTTGCACGACATATCCCGCCCGCCCGATCGATACACGAGCAAAATACGCGTACACATTGTGATATGGAACGATTTTATCTTAAATATTCTAATCTCACGCGTCTTTATTAAACTATTGAATGTCCTTAATCCAAAACTAAAAAAAGTGTGATTCGAAAGTGTCGAAAAAACTCAGGCTTCGGATCTAAAATGTCTATAATAGAATATCAAATTGTTTCGATATCTTGTTCATTAATGTTAAATTTATTGTGCGAGAAATTCTTCAAGAGTTTAAAATACGCGACAAAATAATGACTCTACAGGTGCAAATCCTGTGACAAGAGGAGGTCTGTTCTTTTCAGCTGAACTGGCTGCACTAGTTTATTTCTTTTCTTCTAATGTGGAGTAAAAACTCTAAACTGATACAGCTGCTTCAACTGAAAAGAACAGCTCCAAGTTGTGTATAATATTATATTATATATTTTGTGCAACTAATATTGTTATAATATAAAAAAATATCCCTTGCACTTTTAAAAATTATTGATTTTTTTGGAGGAATGTATATATTATGCTTTTCTTAGCTTTAGCAAACTGTGATTTCTATTTTTATTATGCGCTCTTTTAACCTTTTTTAATTTGTATAAGAAATAAAACGCTGCATGCAATTTCCGAACGCAGAATCATTATTTTGTAATTCAGAATCCGAGTCTGATCAGCCAGGCGATAGTGCTGTCGATACCCACGATGCCTGAACGTAAATACACCCTTTTCCTAACATCCCCGCAGTCTGCCTATCCGGTGAGCGACACGATCTTTACACAACTGTTATCGCGTTAGAATGAGTAGATAAAAAAAGGAAAAAAGCACCAATCAACTTACTTAAAATTAGCTCTTCAAAATATTTACTTGTCAAATTAAATGTGTTTAACATTTGTTTAGATGCCTCAATTGCGATAACAATGAAATAACGTGTATCCACCTTTGTTACGCAGGTGAAGCCGAACAAAAGGAGCAACTGCAAGACGTGGAAGACCAGGACGTATCGTAACTCTAGCTGTAGTGAGTGTTATCTTGCGCATATAAAACTGAGACACAAGAAAAAAACTCTTAATAACTCATAAGCAAAAGAAATAAACCAATTCAGCAGATGGCAGTTCGGGGTAGGAAGGGGAGAGATCTTTAGAAATTTGCGTGACCCTTAAAAAAGTACGTACGCGCCGTTATTTAAAAAAAAAAAAACAGAGCGGCAGCAGTGACAAACAACAATAGCGATAACAAAATTAATTAATAACATAAATCATTTGATTGCATTATATATTACGTACACACATATATAATACACGATTGAATTTCGGAGCACGCAGAAGCAAAAGAGAACACGCACTCTGCGGTAAATAGAGACTGCAAAGCATTTAGAAAGGAGAGGCACTTTTTAAGTTGCCCCGTGTTTGCGTATCGAGAGGAAAAGTATTTCTATTTTGCATGCCACTATCCGTTCAAAATTACCGACGACGTAAATCGTCAGCGTTCAGGATTAAATCCTGTTTCAATGAGTGAAAACGAATTACGTGTATCGCGTACATATTTTACAATAGCGAAAGGAAAAAAAAATAGAATTGCTCTATCTACCGAGACGCATTTGTGTGTGTTCGTCTGTCCTTATCCTGACCTGACCACCATCGATCCTTTATTCTTTCTCTCTTTCTCCAAATTTTCTCTTTTCCGTCCTGCTACCTGAATCCTTGCTTTTTTACTGCGCGCACGATCGTCTCGTGTACACTAATTGCTACGATATTATTAACGTATGCGTGTAAATGGATTTATTTAGAGATAAACATACATACGCTCATACTTTTCTTTCTCTCTTTACGGAAATAACGGCGGCGTCCTCACATTGCCAATTGTTAAGACGGACCTCGCTTTCGAGCTTGTAACTCTGTGTAATAAGATATGTACTTCTGACAAAAGATCCGAGTGTAATATTATATAGATAGCTGAGAAAAAAGAAACTCTCTAAAATTCACACATGGATTTTTGGATGGCATAGCCGAGCTGAGGAGACGAGAATATGCTTACTTCGATTTGCCCCTCCTCTCTCTCCCCCCTCCCCTCCCCGTCTGTATCTTGTCAAATGCAATAAATTCGCCTGATTGTGAGCTTTCGTAAAGAGACCGTCGCGAAGGGGCTTGATAATGCGAATGACGGAAAGCTAAAAAAAAGTGTGCGTCGTCGAAATTTTTTTCAATTTCGTTGATTTTTTTTATCGACATTTTTCCGAAGCGAGCGTCTCATCGCGTCAGCTCGACATCGTGTAGCGTCGTTGATTGATCGATTAAAAAAGGGAAAAAAAAAACAAAAAGTGAAAGGAAGAAGGGGAAAAAATGAGAGAAGATTTCGTTATATAGTGAGCCTTTTTAGCGTTATTATTACGTTTACTCACAGCAAACAAGCAACTATCTAGCTAGTCTGTAATGTGGTTGTACGTTTTCATACGCCCGTTGTGTAAACTAAATATCGATTGCTGTGGTATAAGAACAGAATAAATGACTGTACCCCCGAGACTTTTTCCACCCGCGCACATACACACTCTTACTATACATACGTACATATACATATATACATATATATGTATGTATGTGCTTTTATACGTATATATATATGTATACGTATATATTTTAAGTATATATATAAATTATACGTACAAAAATTTATATATATGTATATGTATATAAATCATATATATGTATATATATAAATACGCACATATTTCACATACATATATGTACAATGTATATTTCCACGTCTTTTCCATCCGGATAGTCGATTCGTGTTTATATAATTAATCCATTCGCCGATTCATCGACGAGTCATTCCATCAGCTTTTACGTTGAGACATTCCATTGTTCTTCTTGTACTAAGGAGTCATAGGTTTACAGTGAAAATACCCCTTTTGCTTCAGACCGACGAGGTAAGCTTAGCTAGTTACTGACCATTTTACGCATTAAAAACTTACCTACTTATTATAGAGCTAGAACTACCAAAATCCATTTTTAAGCTCGCTCAGTTTTTTCGCTGATAACGCGACGGGGAGGAGATGATGATGATACCTAACCGAAGATGACGCCGAATTTAAACGTCGAGAGAAGGAATATAATCCTGCAAGAGAGAGAGAGAAAAACGCGGATGGATCCGCACGGAAGAGAACACAAATAGCAAAAATTTGGTGTCCATCGTGCCCCTGTATTTAGGTATTGTAACGATAAAATCGATAATCATGTTACACATACATACACACATACATAATACGAATGATACGTTATGAGGAATAATTCTCAAAGTAATATCAACCGGCTCTCGTAAAGTAAGTAAGTATATTTGCGAATGTAATTGTAAGAGCGTAATAAGTAGGATAATATGGAGAAAAGAAAAAAAACGAAGAAGTAACAATCTCGACGTGAGAGATCATTTGAGCGACGGGGTAAGATCAACTCGAGTATATGATGATCGAGGAGATTAAATCGCGCGAAAAGAAAACTGTATGCAAGGTAAACTGAGCTCTAAATTAAGAACTTGCGGAACGAGGCGGAAGCCGTCGTAGGCTGTTGAAACAACACACGCGTATATACATATATATATATGTATATATATATATATATATATAAATATATTTCAATTACATTAGCATGTATCTGTGCTGCGGGCAAAAAGTGTTTTAAGAAATTTAGATACGTATAAAAATGCGTCAGGTGGCAACGAAATGGTGGTAATAATGATCTCTGAATGCCGATGAATCATTCGTACGATTCGATTATTCGTTCATAGAGTGCGTTTAAATCATTTGAAAAAAAAAGATATAAATTTTATTTTATAAATCCACCGAGAAAAAAGATCCGATTCAATTTCATCAAACTTTTTACTGCGATCTTAAAAAAAATAATTTTCACACATGTGTTTAGATTTAATTCAGAAATTTAGATTCTCAAGTGAATCTCGATCGCTCTATGAACGAGTAATAGAGCAACGCGATTCATCATTGTTCGGAAGAAGTAATTTTTGCGTTTCTGGATCCGTATGCGTTCTTTACGCTCTGTATTACAATCGATGCGATTACACCGGATACAATCTTTTTTTCTGTAAAACCACACACGTGAAAGCTACAAATAAAGTAATTACGAATCTATGTTTCGGATCGCAGTTTTATTAAAAGCATCGATTTAAATTTAAATATTTTCGGCCACACAGCCATTGTCAGTGGAATTCAGCTTAGAGCTAAATATTTTCGATTTATTATATTTATTATATTAATTTTATATTATATAAATATATAATGCGTCTTTACGTTTAAATATCTTTTAATCTCTATATATTTAATTTAAATTTTACATCTTTCTCTTGCTGCAGCTATTGGATTATGATTAAAAGTGAGAAATAATGCGTATTTTTTTCCCTTCGTATTGCACGTAGAAATACATTTTTCACGTGTGTTATTTGCGTTTAATAGTACATTAATTGGATGTAAACAAAATATATCGAAAAATGTTTTTTTTCGAATTTTTCATTAGTAGATAAAAATATACGACTCAATCTATGAGAGTCCTACGTTTCCGTTAACAAAAATAGATTTTATTTATTCACGATAAAAAGTTCAATATAGGTCAAAGTTCAAGATAAAAAATCTATTCAATACGAATTATACAAAACAATTTATTTCGATGTATGATGCGAGAAAAAAAATTCACGCACGATCTCTCGCCTCGCTCTTCTAGCGTTAATCCATTAGTCTACAAAGGATGATTTAAGAAGATTTAAGAGAAAAATGACATCGATCCTAAGCTTTAAACTCTAGTTGACTAACTCACTTAGGGCTTAAAGCTTTTTGTCATAAAACTAGGACTTGAATCACATAGACTAAGATTAAGACTTTATCCGATTGAATTTTAGTTGCGGCAAAAGATACCTCTAATGCAGGAGATATGCTTATTAAATAGTTATTCAAGTGTGGATTGGGACTTGCTGTGCATTTGCAACGACTGAGATTGCATCTCTTTCGCAAAGTCGCGATCGCGTAAGCTACTCGAGCTTGACAAAAGTCTCCTCGGTCTCGTCAAGTTTACCTGTCGCAGGATTCGTTCTAAATTGCTTTCCGATCCTGTCAAAATCGGCGAGAGATTAATGCTCGACGCGGTTCGAGTCTTCACAATTCGGCCACCCCTGGGCGATTTTCCGGTCTGATCGTTGGCCTTACGTTTCGCAGACTTTAGCTTCACGTTGCGCAACATCTCCAGGGACACCATCGGTCCTCTCGGACCTGGGACAGTGTTTCGTCTGCTATCCTGAAAGGTATTGAAAGAGATTATATTCTTTCTGCTTCTGAATCGCGTTTTCAGAATAAATTAATCATATTATTGAAATCAATTTCTTTTAATTTAAATCACATGTTAGCTTTTTATTTGATAAGAGTAATTTTTCCCATTATGTAATAATGTGTAATTCTTTGATCACTTTCAGCATTCAAAGATTTTTTATTTCAATAGATTCCTTGGTTTAATTTATTAATTTTATAATTTAATTTCAGTCTAATCTGAATATTTGGAGCGAATCTGATTTAAATCTAGAGAGCAATTCATCAGAAATCTTAAAAAAACTCAAGACATTCATCTAAAAGATAATTATCCGCGCAGAAATTATTGATGATTTTATAAAATTATTGTAGAAATATTTGGTTGCTAAACTTATAAAATTTTTGTACTTTAATACTTTGCGGTGCTTTCTTTAATGTGACTTTTAATAGGTCCTCGACTGTGATGCTGGGCCTGTTGAACAACGGCGTGGAACATTTTCTAGGCGTCCTATTCTTGTTACTTCTGCTACTGTTGGGGGTTGTCGGCGATTTTATCGGCGTCGGAGACTGTAAGGAAGCTATAGGAAGAGGCGGAGGAAGTGGTATCGATGATGCCGGTTCCCAAGTGTGGACTTTCGGCAAAGGAGATTGCAGCGGTGGAAGTATTGAGAAGGATGGCGGAGGGGGAGGGGGAGGGGGAGGGGGAGGAGGAGGGGGCGAACAAGAAAGAGAAGACGAAGGGGGCAAGGAAACCGGTTGCGAGAACTTCGATCGAACTTCCTCCAGCGTTTCGCGCAACTTCTTCAGCTCCTGCATTAGCGTCATATTGTCCTCGGTCATCTTTCGACTGGTTTCACGAATCACATTTGTCTCGCTTGTGAGGGTATTCAGGGTAGTTTCGGTGTTCTTCCGTACCTGCAACCAGAAAAAATTATATGTTAATTATTATTATTATATTAATTATTTTTTATACTTATTATTATAGCTATTATTATTTTTATGTATTATATTATAATAGTTACTATATTATTATTGCGTATCATATTTTTATTAATATTGATTAAGATCGACAGATTATTTAAAGCTTTGTCAAAATTATATACTGATAGGAATATTTTATATAAATTATATATTGAATTGTGTATTGATCTTGCGCGAATATCTTATTAATTACGCGGATGTAAAGTTATATTTAATTTCTTTCTCGAGGTTTGAAATAATTTGCGTTCTCTCACCTGGACGAAATCCATCGAGAGTCGTGTCACTTTTTTCGACAGTAAGCGCAGCATCTTCTCGTTTTCAGATCGCAACGTCGTTGCCAAACGATTAAACTTCTCCGTTGGAGGTGTCTCCTTAAACGAAAGTGGAGCAATCATCTGTTGCATTTTTTTGCAACTCTGAAAAAAATTATCTAATATAAACAAATATCGTATATAACGTAGATATAGCATAAATAATATATTATAATTTATATATATTAGTTATCAATTTTCACGTGTTGCGATATGGTTCGACTTAAATCAATTGCGAGAAATTTACACCATTTAGAAGATGCAGTAGTTTTCTTTTCAAGCAAATGCAGAGAGCAATCACCCATGTAATTAATGCGCGGCAAATGTTTCTTGGCCGAGATGCGTGGGAGTTATTGTCTCGTTGCGTCGAGCTGTCCCTTGACGGTTGACGTTTGTAGGAGTCATCCCAATGATGTTCTACCTTATTATTCAAAAAGCGGAAAGATTATTAACAGACGAAGTAAATAAATGTGTACACAAAAAAGTACACTTTTATGTCTATATTGTTACAAAAAAGTATACTTTTAAGACTCCTGAATTTTCACCGCAGTCATGTTAGATTGTAACGTCAGAGGCAAGAAAGCATTTACTAAAAATTTTTAGATGCTATTTCAAAATAAAAAGATATTTCGATTAAACAGCACTTCAGATGGCTTTAACACTCTTAAAATACCTCGAAAACTATCTTTATCGCTTTATAATCAATCAGCAGTTGTAAAATGACTGAAATATGAAGCCCAGTCCATCTATAGTCTGCACATTCGTATGATAAAGTCTGATATTAGATCATTTTACGGTTGTTGATTGACTGTCAAAGGAAAAGAATAATTTTCGTAGTTTAAAAGTATACTAAAGTCATCTAAAATAGTGTTTCATCAAAATATCTTTTCATTTAAAAATGACATCTAAGAATTTTCAGCGTGTGCTTCTCTGACGTCACAATCTAACATGCGGCTGCGACAAGGAAAGAGACATAATAAACTCTTACTTTTTGCAGGGAATTACTGCGACCGTCGTAATCGGACACTGTGGACAGGTTGAGCGTCGATTCCGAGACATTCTGGTCCCAATATGTTTTATTGCACAAAGGCAAATGATCCAATGAGCGTTCCACGCCCTTTTCATCTGGTAGCAAATCTGCAATTTCAGCGCGAATCTCCGGCGCTTGCCTCTGCTTCTTCATCTCCCTATTATAATCGAATGTCAAAGTTGCATTTCGGAAATCGCATTTCGATGATGAGCGAGGTGTTTCCGGCATCTGAATCTTGGATTCGATTAGTCTCGCTTCCTTTTCCTGTGGTCTTCTCTCTCTTCTCTTGAACTCGCGCTCTTCATCGACGAGTGAGAATCGTGTAGCGATTCCACGATTCATCGGGCTTTCGCGATGATCATCCTTCGGCGACGAAAAAGGCGTATAAAAGGTCGATGACGACGACGAGAGGGAAATGTAGGGGAACATTCTGTATAGGAAGGACGCGCCACATTCTTCGCCGCGAATTTTCCTGCTCACTCGTTGCAGATACGCAAACATCTTGCGAAACTCGCTCCAATTTGCGGTCAAACGCTCGCCGATCTTCTCAAGCATGATGTCGAATCTCCTATTATCACTTGACGTCCTCTTCCTACTCTCCTTATCGGCTCCTGAACCATCATGATCCTTGATAGACCCGCAGAGCGACAGTCCGGTCAATTCATCGGGGAATCGGGATCCTTTCTCGATCTCGTTCACGATTGTGAAAGATTGTGATTTATCAGTCGGTCTTATGGTAGAATCATTAATGCTTATCATCGTCGAGATCGACTGTCTCTCTAGATAATTGTTCATCTCGCGAATGAGATCATCATTCGTTGAAATAGTCCTGTCCAACGTGTTATAATCTATCATGTCGGGAATGAGATCATCATTCGTTGAAATAGTCCTGTCCAACGTGTTATAATCTATCATGTCGGGTACATCGCGCTTTTCCTGCTGGTCCGAATTTTTCTCCAGAGATCGTCTCTCATGCTTTTCGCAAGAATTCACAGGAATCGAGTCGTCCTGCGACTGAGATTCCAAGCTGGAAGGAAGGTGTCTCGTTGATTGACAAATCGTTTCTTCGAAAACATCTTCGATGAGCACTGAAGATTGTGTTTCGTTGTTTAGAGACATTGAACTGCACGAATAGCCGTCCGTTAAATCGTCCATAATTGTATCGTAGGACGGCTTAGGATACTTCTCCAAGTTGACGAGGTCATCTCTGGATTCGATGTTGAGATCGTACATCAGAAGATCCGATTCGCGACACTCTTGGGACAAGCTGGATCGTTCGATCCTTTGCGTAAGAATCGATGCATCGTCGATCGCGTGGGTCTCTGAATCTTGAAGAGATCTTGCTTTAGATCGTTCGAGAACGATCTCAGGACTGAGCTTGCTGCTGCAGAGAGTCGGCTCCGATTCGAACAACACTGACTCCGGCGAATGTTGTCGATTACACGCACCACCCTCTTCCTCGTTCTCCAGGAAATCTTCGTTCTTCGAATTTGCGGAAGATAAGCGGGCGTGTTCCCGAAAGGACTCTTGAATCTCGCGAAATTTTTGAGATCGTTTGTGCAATCTACGCCTTATCCTTGAGTAATGAAATACATTATATTGAGATATCATCATAATCTATATATATATATATAATCTGTTATTATCTGCTATAATTACCTTTTGCAGTAAACTACAAACATCTTATGGCACGCACTTCACTAAAGTTGCGCGAATTAAGATAGATAAAACGTTACGTTGCACTTTCGATTTTTCGAAATAAAGGAATAAGACTGTTAAATGTCCTATACCTGATATTTGTTGTTTATCTCAAGGTCATCCATCTGTGTATATGTAGGTATATTATTTGTTTTCATATTCGCACGACGCTGACGCGCGTAATTTTCAATCATATTCCCTGATTAAATTCGTTATTTTTTAAACTCGTCTTTTCGAAATTATTTAAATTCAACTGAAAGCAAATCTCTCATTAAATATAATTTTGATTATTTAAGAAGAAACTAAATTTATATAAATTAAATTATGAATATAGAAAAATATTGAAGTAAAAAAAATATGCTGCATTGGTAAGAGCGTTTATTCAGTTCTTTGCTACATTGTACATTTTCCTCGAGTTTCATGATTTGTGTATAATTTTATTATTTAATTTATTCTCTATTTTACATACTAATATGTAATATATAAATCTGCTTGGCAGTTTACTTTTCATTTACAATAATCTTAACTTTATACATTCGATAATCTTCTCCACGATTCAAATACTACACATTTACATATACATTGGCAGGTCGAAAGAAACAGAAAATAAAAAAAACAAAAAATTTAACAATATTTAGGCTCATCACGATTGAAATATGACAATTTGATTGATGACTATAATTACATGACATGAGCAACAAAAGTAAAAAGTAATTTTTACGCTCTATTTAGTTATCTCTGATAAATCTTACTTCTTATTTACAAAGTCCTCTCCTTTTTGAATATTTTTCTTGAGTTCAGGGATGGCGGCGTCCAACAGTTTCTGCTCAAAGCTGCTTAGTTTACCCAAGCCCAAATTTTTCTCAATTCCATTTTTCTGAAATTTACAATACGCCAATTAAAAATTTGAATTTCTTATTTTTTTCTTACTATTGGAGGAATATCGATACAATACTTTATTCAATATAGCATTTTTAAGTTGTTTATTATTATATTATAATATAAATATATATTATAAATATAATATAAATGTTAGAAAACATAAAAATTAAAATATGTATATTACACTATATTCTAGAAACAAATGGCTTACCGAAAAAAAATTTCTTATATTGATCGAAAAACAAATTGTATAAATAGAACAAGTAATTTTTCCTATTTGATCTCTTTCCAAGATATACGATGGCAATAAACGGCATGCTAAGTCACGCGATTTATTTTCACATCTTTACTTACGCCCAAAAGTATCGGTGTGGAGAAGTATTTGGCATCGGTGACGTCCGATTTGACATATGAACACTCAATGATACCAGTTTCCCCGTTGAGCGCCCTGATTAACGATATACCAAATCGTGCGCCGGCATAAGCCATGGATAAGGTTGCGGATCCGGTGCCCGCTTTGGCCTTGACGACTTCGGTACCGGCCTCTTGAATTCTCTCCGTGAGCGCCTTCAACTGATCATCCGGGAAAGAAACCGATGGCGTGCACTGCGAGATCAGTGGAATAATGGTGATGCCACTGTGTCCACCAATGACCGGAACGGACGTTTTTAGTGGATCGAGGTTCTGAAACATTACAAATTATTTATCAGTACATATGTATAACAGTTCCAAGATTTTTCAATTATACGAGTTAGTTTGCAATCATTGCAATATATATATATATATATATCATTGCAATATATATATATATATATTTATTTATTTATTGTTCTGACCTAATTTTATCGAATAAAAATATTTTATGTGCCGCATCTCTTATAAATGCTCGATTATTCAATGCAACTGTCATTATTGGATTACAATATAAAAAATTAGAAATATAATTTTTTTGGATTATAATATAAAAATTATATTTATATTTTTCCTTTTTATATTTATTATTTATATATGTATATTATTTTTTTATTATATTTATTATAATTTATATTATAATCCTTAATATTACAAGAATTATAATATTTTGAATTATATTATAAATAATTTCTTTTTACACAATTATATAACTCGTTTTGGTATTTAAAATTGTATATCTTGATTTTCTGTACATGTGATATTTTGTCCTTATTCATTAATTTTATTTTGTCATATTTCAAATACCTTTGCCTCTGCGATGAATGTGTTTGCTCTGACAATGTCTAGAGTGGTTACTCCAAACACGCGATTGGGATCGTAGACGGAGGCTTTCTTCAGTACTTCAGTCGCGATTGGTACTGTGCTGTTGACAGGATTCGAGATGATCGCTACGAAGGCTTTTGGCGCGACTTCTGCCATCGCGGCAACGAGATCTCGAACAATAGAAGCGTTCGTGTTGAAAAGGTCGTCGCGGGTCATGCCTGGTTTGCGCGGAACACCAGCAGGTATGATAATGACCTAAAAAAGTGCACAAATATTAATTAAAAATAAATATTTATAAAATCTAAAACGAGACTGATCAATTCTGATTTGATAAATTAAAAAATCATAAAAATAAATCTAACATTAAATATAAGTATTACATATTAATATAGGATAATCCATGTGTCAAATATTCATGGTACAATTTTCTGTCGTAAAGACATACTTGTGCGCCTTTCAGGGAATCCTTGAGCTGTTCCGGGCCATTGAAAGCTCTAACTTTTGCTGGTGTGTTTATGTGCGAGAGGTCGGCGGCGACACCCGGTGTGTTCACGATATCATACAGCGACAATTCAGTGACGAGGGGTGATTGCTTGAGAAGTAAAGACAGTGGCTGGCCAATGCCGCCACTGGCTCCCATAACAGCAACCTTGGCATCGCACTAGAAAGAATACAATCAAGATGTTAGTATTTTGAAAAACTAAAGCATTTACAAATGTAGAATACAAATTAGAGAAGATGGATTAAAAATGTCTTCCTATTAATTTTGTGTTTACGCAATTAACAAAATTAATGTTTAAAGATTTCTCGGTAAGTTCACAAAATTATTTCATAGCTTGCTTTTTCGGATGTGTATAAGATACATATGATCAATGAGGACCTCGAGATCATTCCGCAGTCGGTTTCGAAAATGTCTTGATACGTCAATTTAATTACGCCAGCACTTTGATGCACAATCGGATCATTCGCGGTTGCATAACCGATTGCACTCTTCGTGATATGCAAAGTTCCCACGTAACTGATAGAAGTGGCGAGCGATATCTTTCCCGCGATACACGTCGTCGAACGTGGATGAAGATTCTCGTATGGGCGGCATTTTCGTACTGGACCAACAGTTTATACAGTAAATGTAGCTCAGCACCTTACGTACTAATTTGAGAATATATATATATATGTATATGTAAAATGCATCTGTGAAATGGATGACATATTTAAATAGACAAATGTATAAAAAAACATTTTCTTAATATATAATCGCGATTTTCACGGCATATTTAAATACACATTATTCCAATTAATCAGAAAAATTGTTAAAAATTTTAATTTGTCATTATTGTACACTTAATGGTGATTCGGAAGAAGATAACAATTACACAGTGAACGTCATTAAAAATACTAATCTCGGATTTGGAAACTGCATTGAAAATCGTAGTTTACTGTATATATACCTTGGTGCTGGTTGATAATCGTTTTGCTCCTTGCTGGGCGATGCTTAAGGTAGGCTTCAGGAATCGCGGTAGCATATTGATGATGGATGTTACGTGAAATTGTCCGAAATGATCTTCCGAAGAAAAATAAATTTCGTTCCTGATAACCCCTCAAAGACACTCGCGTGACCTTTAAAGATCTACTGACAGGCTGTGACGTCAGTGGCGCCACGAACATAAATTCAAGCTTCAGAGATCTCTCGCGGCGAAAATTCAAGATCGAGAAATTCCCTATATACGAGACTCTTCATTCGTGACGCTACAAAATTCCAAGCGTTCGATTGAACCAATCGGAACGAAGAATTCTTTCCTTTCCTTCGTCCTGATTAGTCAATTAAATAACTCGACAATTTCGTACATTAAAAATGCTACATGTTGTGAATCCGCCTTATCACCTCCTTCGATCATGATATTCGCTGTGGATCGTGGCTAGAATTGTGACCGCAAAGTGATAGACGTTCGGTGCAAAATGCTATCGAGACTGGCTCTTCGCAATGGTAAATAAATGTCAATTCGATTCTTTTCGCTTTTGCATTTTTGCGCATTATTATGCGGAAGCGAATTCGAGCACGGAGACAACAGATGAATTTGGTTGACAGTTTCTATTATGTAATAGCAATTCCGCAATACGTTTATATTTTCTCGTATTTTCCAAAAACTTATATATTACGAGTACTATTTATACATCATATAAAATTATGTAACACATTTAATCCTATTTTTCTCTCAAGAGTGAGATTCTAATTTTTTTCATGGGCAATTTTGTTTATGCAACATTGTCACATTTTCTCTATGAAAAGATATCAAAATCTGTTCTTTTCAATATTTTGTATTTGTTGTACCATTATATTAAATTTTTTTTCTTTTATTTTCATGTTCATATATGCCATACAAAATCTTAAATATATATATCAAGGTTGCGTTCCAAAACGTCCTCCTCGAGGAAAATTTTACTTAAAAACTATAGTACATGTTACGTATATTATAGATTATCAGTAAAATTTTCCTCGAAGAGGATATTTTGGAGCACAACCCAAATATAGAAAGTATAACTGCTTATGTGTAGAATAAATATTTCTTGTGATAAATTTGTAATTTATTGTGATAATGTTTCTCTTTCTGTTTCTCATATTTAGCTCAGTTATTACCAATGGCTGTGCGAGGAGCACAAAGTACTTCTTCAGCAGCGACAGAGTTTACTCGTCCGAAACGTTTATCGAGCCAGCTCCAGTTAGACATGGATTCATACCTGAAGGATGGTTTGAAGCTTTCTATTCAAAAACTGGTGCATCAGGTATGCGATTACTCTTATTGCACAATAATAACTGAATATCTGATTTGAAGTAATTCATGTATAAATTTTTATATTTGATGTAGATTGTTTATACTTTTTAACTACAAAGTGAATGACTTCTTGTGTAAATTAAACATTAAAATATAGGTTAACATCTTTTTTATGTAATACTTTACATATAAGAATAACAATTTACATATATTTTTTTTAATTGAAAGTAATTATATCTTCTCTAAGATGTCACATCCTGCATAAATGACGACATATGTTGTTGCTACTACTAATTATTTTTGAACATTTTATTTTCAGGGCCATATGTATTGGCATTAACTGTGAGCACTTATTTATTTTCCAAAGAAATTTATGTTATGGAGCATGAATTTTATAATGGACTAGGCCTCTTAATAATATATGTAGCTGGTGTAAAAATGTTTGGCCCAAAAACAGCTGAGTATTTGGACAAGGAAATAGATAAATACAGTGATGGACTTGAGGAGTCTAGGAAGAACGAAATAGCTCATTATGAGAACACAATTGAGCATGAGAAACGAAAACAATGGAGTCTGGATGGCCAGAAAATGATAATGGAAATTAAAAAAGAGAATGTTAAAATGCAACTAGAAGCAACCTACAGAGAACGCTTGGTGCAAGTTTATCAAGAGGTATACCTAATAAATTTATTTTTTGTATAAGAAAATATAACTATAAAAAAGATTATAACATAGATGTAAATCTTTAAGAGTAGAAAAGTCTGAAAAATAATATAAAATAAGTTAAATAAACCTGGATAATAGAAGTGAATAGAAATTTAAAATCTTTGTAATTTCTTACATATTACTCTTATTACTAAAAGAATATGTTGCTCAGGCATTAATTTTTAATTTGTTAAGTGTAAGCTTATAAAATTTTTTAAAATTTAATATAGTATAATGTGATATATATATATATATATATATATATATATATATTTTTTTTTTTTTTTCACAAGGAAAAAAGAACATAAAGTATTTTTTACTTGTTGCTTATAGGTGAAAAGACGTCTCGACTATCAAGTGCAAATACAAAATCTCGAACGCCGAATCACACAGAAGCATATGGTTCAATGGATTGTGAACGGAGTATTGAAAGCCATCACTCCTGATCAGGAGAAGGCAACGCTTCAACAGTGCATCAAAGATCTCGAAGCTCTCGCTGCAAAAGCGTAAAATGTCTCTAAATAATAACTTAGATGAAATAGAAATATGATAGCAGGTAAGAGAAGACGTCTGTATAAAAGTCTAATAAAGTATCATCTCTATCAAATATTGTTACCGAACAGTCAAACTCATCAAATGTTGCAAATAAATAAACACCATCTTGCAACATTTAGTGTGTAAATTAATTTTTGTTAACGATATTAAAGAGAATTGTAAATTTAACTAAACATCAGCTATTAAAATGATAAATATACAAAGTTTACTTCTTGTTCTTTCATCTTTATCTATTCAGGTAAAATATTTCATAAATTTTAAACATATAAATTTTAATTGGTTTTAGTTATACAGATAATGTGTGATTATATATAAATAAATTTATCTTTATTTTATCAATGGTAATGATACAAAATAATTTATACACTGTCTTATGTTTATATTATAAGTAAAACATTTTTTTAAATTATATGCACTTGTGTAAAATAATGTAAAATCTCAATAAGAACAAAAGGGCATGAAAGTATAGAAATGTATATATCAATACTCTATAATTAGCTTGTATCAGTGTTTCAATATCAGAATAATTTAAATACATATCCATACAGTGAATTTGTTGCTATTTGTTGAAGTAAAATAATATTTTAATAAAATTGGACTAAGTCTCCATAGTATAAGTCAAATATGTATCACTCTGTTTTGCTTCTTGTTATTTTTTTTGTAATATTATTATGTGATTATTTTGATAATTTCGTATTACATTCAGCACAAGATAACGCTTAAGTTTTATCGAGATATTTTTTTTTTTTTCGAAAGTTATAAAAATCTTTGTAATTTGAATGATTTAGAAGAACTTGCAACGGTCCATAAATTATCAGAAATTGCCAAATTAAATTGACTAAATTTATTAAAAAATTAACATTATTGATAGTAAATATAGAGTGAATTATACGAAATATAAAATTATTGTTCGATTTACTCGTATATTAATTATTTAAAAAAGATCACAATTATATTCAAAACTAAAATATTAGAAAGCAAAGGATATATATAATGACAACAAATACTATACTAATGAAAATAAATATAAAACGTTCTATAGAATTTTTAATTATTATAATTATGTATTTTTTCATACACAATCCGTTTCTGCTGATACAAAATTATATTACAATATTTTATACTCATTATGCCTTTTTAGTTACAGGTCGATATTTTTCGGAGCATCTTATAGTAATTTGATATAATATAACAAATTCTACAAAAGTATAGACACAAATGTTTTGAATTATTAAAGAAATATTGAGTTAAAGAAAAAGATATTCATTACATTAATAATATAGTACAGCATTGTTTGCTAATGCTAAAAAGCATTGTTAAAGTGAAAATAATTCTCTTGCAGATTTTTTATAACATTTAAATTTAATAAATATATGTGTCATTTCATGACAATAAAATTTCTTTTAATACTTGAAATTTTAATAAAAGTTTGAAAGAATGTACCAATCAATATTTTCGATTTTGATTGATGGATAAAACGACAGATTCGAAAAATTGAATTATTTATTTGCAGCGTTATATGATATGAACAAAAATTTCTTTGTAACAATCCTATGGATTATCTTATGGAAGATAATCCGAAGAATTTAGTAAAACTTTGCTTATCTAGAGGTAATTCTTTATTTAGGGAGAAGGTAAATACAAAGAAAATGCAGCACGGAATTATTTAATTATTAAATTAATATTAATTATGATAAAACTATGCTCGTTTATATATGCGTTTTCACTAAAGAATAACAATAGAAAGAGATAGAGAGATACGTATTAAAATTGTCTGATGATTAGATATATAGTTTCTTGTAACAATTAATATTACATACATAATATTTAGCTAATCGATCAAGACAATCAATACAATCGAATATAAGTCTTGTGTTCATATTTAATAATTTTTGAAAGATTTGCAATTTTAATTGGTTATCAGTGGTTGATTTCAATTTGTTTTTAATTTATTAAATTCTTCATATTGTATGTGTTTACAAGTTGCACATGTTTCATATAATTAATTATCACGTTAGAGAAATGAAGTCAAGTATCATCGTTGAAAATGATGCAAAACTTTGGTTTGCAATTTATTATATACAATCTACACTTTTCTCTCACGTCTTCTTTTATCTTTGTAAGATAAAATGTATTTTAAGCAATCTATAATTCGCCAACGGGATTCAAAACGAAACGATAATTTCCTGCGCAGCGTAATTCCGCTATATTATACATTCCGATTATTTAAATATGTTTTTCGCCAGCTAGTAGAACGCAACTCGCCAAATTATCGATAAAAACTCTGGAGATCCAGCGTGTCCGGAGAGACAAATGAAAACTCGAATTGGAATGAAAATCGCGATGTCTCGAGTGGGCTCATCGATACGTAACAATACGTAATATCGGCGATTCGCGGGATAAGACGGGACGCGAGACCATTCCAGTCGGCGGCGAAATCCGCGTTCCGTTTCCATGCGCGAAACGTCGGGAATCGAAGGCGTCGCGTCGCGTCGCGTCTGCTCGGGGGCGCTCGGGCTCGCTCGGGCTCGCTCGGGCCGCGACGAACGGGCCGATCGGGCGGCGCGCGCGAGTTACTCGGGCGGCCGGGGGCCGCCATTTTCCTCCAGCAAGGGAGAGAGCAGTCCGGAGCGTAGGTAGCGAGGGTCTCGCGTGCATCGTCCTGGCGACTCGGAATCGAAAATAGTGAATCGGGAGACGCGAGAGTTGGTTTCGCGTGCGCCGCGAACCGTGTGCGATCCATACGTACGCATCGGCCGTACGGGAACCGCAGTGTGCGCCTGGTGGCCTGGTAGAATCCGCGCGACATTGTGCCGACTGCGGCGGTCACCCGGTAGACGGACGCCGCCACCGCCGCCGCCGCCGCTGCCGCTTCTTCTTAAGTAGCGTTTGTGCGAAATCGACGACGAAGGAAGGAGAGATCGAGGAAGAAGAACGCAGGAAGCATCGCGGATTAACGACAGGAGAGGAAGGAGGCGGAGAAGATTGCGCGCGAGCGCGAAACAAGGAGAAAGAAGGAGCAGCGAGAGAGAGAGAGAGAGAGAGAGAGAGAGAGAGAGAGAGAGTGAGATAGGAAGAAAGAGACGGACACGCACACACATACGAAAAGAGACAGAAGCGGAGTGTGAATAGTTTTGGTGATCGCGCAGTGAAAATACTCGAGCAGGCCGACTTCGGGTCTACTACGATATCAAGAGGAGAGTGAGTCGCCTCCGACAGGTTAGTGCGGTGTACGATCATGGCTTCTTCCTGTGCGTGTGTGTGTGTGTGTGATGCGTGCGTGCGTGCGTGCGCGCGCGCGAGAGCCAGCCAAGATAGTTGGCGCGCCTCGCGTATTCGCGGGTACATGTACGAGTTTCTTTTCGGAGCGGCGGTGGCGTCGGCGTTGCATGCGTGCGTGCGTGCGTGCGCTTTCTTTGTGCCGCAGCGGGAGATGTGTGTGCTTTGCTCTTTTCGCGCCGCTTCCCACACACACACGCAGGCTCTCCCTAATATTGTTTTCCTTCTTGCGATTTAGTTTGTGTATTTTCTCGTCCATTCTCTTTTCAATATTATGCACGCGGGGGACACCTGCGTGTCCCCTTTTAAACACTCGAATTTATTTCAATCATGCATAACAAAATATAATACGATTCTGAAATACTCTTGCGGATTTCAACGAAACGCTGTTGAATATTTTTGGCGAATAATTGTCATTGAATTATTTGATCGTTGTGTCGCGTGTCAAATGAAAATTAAATTGGAGCACGGGTAATACGTTATAGTGACAAAAATTCTTTTACACAGGAAGAATTAACTCTCTGAAAATAGTTGATTATAATTTCAAAGTAAAAAATTTTTTTGCAAGACGAAGGTGAGAATAAAACTTGTACGTCGGCTTATTTAAGCGTAGCGTCCTCGCGATAATTTTCAAAAGCTTCGATGACACGTGCGTACGTTTTCTAGAAACGACAGAGCGGGTAACACAAGTGTATACGTAGATGTTGGAAGAAAAAGAAAGAGAGAGAAAGAGCATGCGCCTTTCTTTTTGCTTGCGCGCTCAGCCGAACTGGCCCGATTATTGCTTCCCTCCCTCCCCCCCTCCCCCTTCTTTTACGGACTGCGCCTACCTTCACTCTGCCACACTTGGCTTTTGCGTGCGTGCGTACGTGCGTGCGTGACTGACTACATCGAACAAATATCTATCTCGATATTTGTTCGTCGGAACCGCAGCTGACAATTTGACAGTTGTTTGACACGTGTCAAAAAAAAAAAAAAAAAAAAAAAAAAAAAAGTGCGATTAAAAAAATAAACAACGCACAAGTTATGTAATGATTAAATAAGAGATTCGTAATTCGATGTCGTAAACCGGAAGTCGAGGTTAACGCGAAATCGAGAATTTGATTCGCGATAAAATAGACGAATTTGCCGGGGAGAGAAAATCGCGTGGAGGAATGCAAAAGGTGCGGATGAGAGAGAAGAAAACGGACGTGCATCCACAACTCTCCTTCCCCCTCGGATGTGCGCGCGCACGCGCTCGTTTTCGCTTCCAACGGATGCGCCTCGCGCGCGTTGACCTTCGATGATGTCTCCGCTCGACGACGGCTCTCCATCGTCTGCGCGCAGGAGAGAACTCATATTTGCGAACGCGGCCGGGAGGGAGGGAGAGCCGAATGCGGCTAACGTATGTCGGGAGAGATTACGCGATTTTTTTCTCTTCCTTTTACATACCTCCTTTCGAGTGAAAGGATCCCGAGAATGATGCTAAAATGGCAGGAGCGAACGATACCTCGAGAAGGGGGAGAAAATTCGGCGGGATGTAACTCTCTCTCTCTCTTTCTCTCTCTTACAATTTGCCCTGAAAATCATGGTAATCGTAAGAGTTTCTCAGAGTAATATATATATGTATATTTGTTGTTTGCTGCGATAAAAATATTAATATGCATATATACATAGGAAAATTAATCGAACGTATTTTACATCTTATTGTGGTGGATATGAATAATTTTTAAATTTAACGTATAAGACGGGCAACAAGAGCCAAATCGCGGATGACAATGCGTTATCCTAACGAAACTAAATAATTTTTCGTTAGAATTAAAATACCGGTGCACAAGGCACCAAATTTTTACTTGGACACGGCCAAGATTTTAAATATGAAATAATCTCATATTTGAGATTTAATTTCAATACCCCTTTTAACCCCCCTATGGAAAATAAATAAATGAA